GCCAAACCATCTTCCAAGGTAATGAACTTTCCACAAATCCCAAAAGGGATTGAAAGTATGAGCGGACTGAAAAAATACCGTCTTGAGTCGACCTCCACCTGCTGCAATCACCCTCTACTACCCGAATTTGTATCTCATGCAAGGCAGTAAGAAGCAACGAATAATCTTTCAATTCCCAATCCTGTAAGCCCCTTTTAAAAGTAATATTCCAACTAAAGCCCCCATTATGAATGTCTAATACATCACCCACCATAGCAGCAGGCTCTAACGCAATGCGGTATAATGAAGGAAATCCCTCCTTTAACGGTTGATCGCCACACCAACTATCATGCCAAAATCTAATATCAGTGCCATTTCCTACGACAAAATTCAGATTGTCGCTAAAATCACTCCATCCCCGTCGGATATACCTCCACAAGCTCACCCCATAGGAGCCACGACCCTCAACCGTACACCAACCCCCCTCCATCACACCATACTTTGCCCCAATGATTTCTCTCCAAAAGCTCTCCCTCTCCACTCCAAATCGCCACAACCACTTGCCCAATAGAGCCTTATTAAACAAAACAAGGCTCCTCACTCCAAGCCCCCCATCCTCATAGGCAAACAGACAGTACCCCAATTAACCAAATGCATTTTCCTCTCCTCCCCTAGCCCTGCCCACAAGAATTCTCTTTGAAATCTCTCTAATCTATTTGCCACTGCAACCGGAATAGGAAACCATGACAAAAAGTAAGTGGGAAGATTCGAGAGAGTGGATTTAATAAGAGTAAGTCGGCCTCCCTTAGAAAGATACATACGCTTCCACCCTGCTAACCTCCTCTCCATTCTTTCCATAATACCATTCCAAATATGTGTACTTTTAAACCGTGCCCCTAGCGGGAGCCCTAAATATGACATGGGCAATTGTGCAACCCTACATCCTAATATACTAGCCAACTCCTCCACGTTAGGGACCTCCCCTACTGGAATAATCTCAGATTTCCCCAAATTGATTTTTAATCCAGACACCGCTTCAAAACATAGGAGCAAACGACGCAGGTTCCTGAATTGTTCATCATCCGCATCGCATAAGATCAACGTGTCATCTGCAAATAGCAAATGAGACACCAGCAATTGGCCAACCATAAAGCCCCTTACCAAACCCTCTCCCACAGCTCTTTCAAACATCCTACTGAAAGCCTCCATAACAATAACAAATAGCAATGGGGATAGTGGATCTCCTTGCCGCAAACCTCTACTGCTCCGAAAATAACCCTCCGGCGATCCGTTGACCATAACTGAGAACGAAACAGTAGAAATACAGAACTGAATCCATTTACACCACTTATCCCCAAAGCCGCACCTCCTAAGCATATACAAAAGGAACCCCCAGTTCACATGATCATATGCCTTCTGAATATCGAGCTTACATAGCATCCCGGGAATTCCCAAACGCAATCTTGAATCAATGCATTCATTCGCTATAAGCACAGAGTCCAAAATCTGGCGACCTTTTACGAAAGCATTCTGAAACTTGGACACTACTTTTTCGAGCACCTCCTTTAATCTATTCGCCAGCGCTTTCGCAATAATCTTATACATCCCACAGACAAGGCTAATAGGGCGAAAGTCCTTAATGTCGGTCGCCCCCGATTTTTTAGGGATAAGCACAACAAATGTAGCATTAGAACTTTTTTGGAATCTGCCACGTTCAAAAAAATATGTAAACACATCCAAGATTTCTGATCGCACCACCTCCCAACAAGCCTTGTAAAATGAGAACGAGAAACCATCCGGTCCAGGGGCCTTATCCTTGTTCATGCTAAACACTACCTCCTTGATTTCATCCTCCTCAAAAGGTCGCTCTACCCAATTGGCATCATCCTCTGTGATTGTAGAAAAATCCAATCCTTCCAACTCTGGCCTCCACTCAAACTGCTCCCGATATAGATTCTGATAGAAGTTCACCAGTTGACTTCCAATTTTGAGTGGTTCTTCATAAGTTATCCCATCCACTTCCAACACTGTGATAGAATTTTTACGCCTATTAGAATTTGCGATCCTGTGAAAAAATTTAGTACATTTATCTCCTTCTTTCAACCAATTGACCCTAGATTTCTGACGCCAAGCAATCTCCTCCATCTCCACCAACCGCTCCAGTTCTTCCCTTAATGCTCTACGTTTATCCTTCTCCTCCCCATCCAACCTTCGATGCTCCTCCCACCTATCCAACTCATCTATCTCCGAAAGGCACTGAATTTTACGACAGTTCACATTGCCCACAACTTCCTCATTCCATTTCTTTAAATCCCTTTTCAAAGACTTCAACTTCTGATCCAACACAATACTTGCCCAGTAAAAACTGAGCCCAAAGTGATCTCTGCGATCGAAACAACCACCAGAGCTTCATGGAGAAGGTGTCCACCACATCTTGTAATCTCCTGAAGCCGAGGCCTCCCTCATCTGTTGGAAGGCAAATCTCCTTCCAACTCCTCCAATGTAGGCGTCGAACTTGATCCTTAGAATCCCATAGAAATCGGGCAAAGATGCTCTCAAGCTTCTTCAGTACTACCTTGGGCGGTTGCATAATCTAAAGAAGATGCAATGGTATGGAGGAGAGTACTGACCTCAGTAAGGTAATACGACCCCCAGGTGATAATAATCGTGAAGCCCAACCTGAGATCCTGCCCCTGACCTTCTGGGTAAGGTCGTCATAAAGAAAGCTCCTCTTAGTCTCCTTGAATAGTGGTACTCCCAAGTAAAAGGCTGCTGCTGATGTCTAAACCCAGTCAAATTCTCCAATCGTCTGATCTGACTAGTGGATGCCCGTTTGGATAGTATAAGACCACTCTTGTCTCTATTGACCAACTGGCCAGAAACCCCTTCGTAGTGCTCCAAGCAATCTAGGACCCTCCCGATCGACTGTTTCTGACCGTTGGCAAAAATGATCATATCATCAACAAATGAGAGATGGGAAACAAGAGTACTACCTCCGTGTCGATAGCACATACTGGGATACTCCTGAAACCTCTGAGTGAGCAGGCGTGAGAAGTAGTCTGCCGCTATGATGAATAAGGATGGAGAGATATGATCACCCTGTCTGAGTCCTCGTGAGGAAGTAAAGAAACCATATGGACGGCCATTTAGAAATACAGAAAAACGGCACTCCGAAATACATCGTCTAATCCTATCAATCCATATCCGATCAAATCCAAAAGCCTCCAACACAGAATAAATGAAACCCCAATCCATGCGATCATATGCTTTAGCCATGTCTAACTTCAGCATAGTGTTACCCCCTCGCATTCTATCATCCAAAGTGTAAAGAAGCTCCTGAGCCAGTAAAACATTGTCTCCAATCAAACGACCTGGTATGAAACCACTCTGTGGAGGGGAGATAATGCGCGGTAGCAAAGTACTTAACCGAGTGTTCAAAAGCTTTGTAATAATCTTATTGAACACAGTGCATAAGCTGATAGGTCTGAAGTCAGTCCATCTGCAAGCACCATCCTTTTTAGGGAGCAAGACAATAGAAGTAGCAGCAAAACCCCGTGGAAGATGACCTCCATCAAAGAAATCCAATATTGTCCTGTAAACATCCTCCTGAATAATATCCCAACAATGCTGAAAAAATAGAGATGAGAAGCCATCTGGGTCGGCGACACTGTCAGCATCAATACTGAAAACCGCCTCCCGTACCTCATGCATCAAGGGGGGCGGTTTAGTGCCAAATTATCGTCCACCGTCAAGAGCCTGGGAATTACATTAGAATGGATATGATCCAAGGGCCGTGGAGGAGCAGATAAGAGATCCTGGTAGAATGCAATAACCGAAGTCTGAATATCAGTCGGAGTAGATAAAACTTCCCCCGCCTGTGTCTTGATAGACCAGATACGCGATTTGATCCTGCGCCCCTGAACCATAGCATGAAAATATCGAGTATTGTGGTCACCTTCACATACCCAACGTGAACCGGCCTTTTGCTTTCAAAAGCCCTCCTCAATAGATAAGGTCCGGTTCAAAACTGCCTGGGCATGATGTAGTAAGTTGCGGTGCTCCGGTGTGGGATCTCTATCATATATTATCTCAACCTCATCAATCCCAACCTCAGCATCGCGCACCCGCTGAAAAATATCTCCAAATACATGTCGGTTCCACCAGCGCAGACCCTGTTTCAGCCTGAAGAACTTTTCCCAAAGAGCGGTCATCCCCGTAAGATGAGTAGGGAGCGACCACTTCTGGGAGACAAAGGCTAAAAGGTCATTGTGCTTGGTCCAAACATTGAGGAATCTGAATGGTCTAGGCCCCAAATCATCATCAGAAACCCACTGTAGTAGTAAAGGAGAGTGATCAGATGAAGTCCGATTCAAGTGTCTCACTGTAAGCTGTCGACAAAAACCTGCAGCTGTAGAATTAATAAGTACCCTATCCAATCTCTTTCTGACCCGACCATTGGTCCAAGTTTATCGGTTTCCAATGAAACCCGCACCTCTAAACCATAGTCTAACATCATATCAGAGAAAGCAGTAGTGCCACGATCACGGGTATTATGACCAGTGCGCTCTCCATCATGTGTAATAACATTAAAGTCTCCCCCAACTAGCCAAGGATCGTCCATATCGAGGGAGATGTGGTGAAGACCTGCCCACAAATCTCTCCTGATAGTAGCATCGCATGATGCATAGACTGGAGTCAAATAGATAGGACGCGCTAGCCTGAAATCCTCAACTCTAACATGAAGAAACTGAGGATGATCAACAATAACAGTAACATTAGTCCTCGATTTCCAGAAAAACCAAATCCTATTCGATTCATTCTGAGCTCCCCTATCGAAGCGCAGATAGCGTCGTGTATATGCAAAATTCTGCTGCAGAACAAAAAGCTCCAATATAACTACAAGATAAGCCTGATGAAGCTGTATAAGTTTCTTCAGGCGCCGACGAGTAGCTACACTAGCTACACCTCTCGCATTCCAAATGATGGCACTCATAGGGAAGGAGAATGTGAGGAGGTATCATGTGACTGACTCCGAGTGATCCTTCTGCTTGGATGTGGAGTATGAGTAGCCCGTGGGTGTCTCTTCCGAACAACTGGGATAAATCCATCATCCTCTGTCCTCTCATCCAAACCCACCAAGTCATCAGAAGAAGATCTTCGAAAAGGTCCCTGCTAGTGAACCTCAATCTGAGATGAGCCCTCTGTATCTGAATGCGCTGACTGCAAAGATGGAATAGATGCCTCCACATTCTGATGACAAACAGGAGGAGAAGGAGTGGAAAGAGGTGCCTGAGCCCTACCCAGTGTCGGGCCTGGAATGTAAGAAGCTCTGCTGACTGTGTTCGCCGAAAAATTCTGTGTGTGTGGCCTCTTCAAGATCTCATCCAACATAGGATCATAAAATGGAATAATAGGTGGATTGATAACCTGAGCAGGAGCTGAAGGAGTGATAGATGTAGCTGGATCTGTAGCACTGATAACTGGTAAGGCTGTAGGAACGGGAGGAGCAACTGAAGGAACAGATGGCTGGGTATGAGCATGTGAGCTAGTGCCAGTAGGTAATGGGACTGATGTGATGACAGTGGACACAGAAAGCGGAATCTGAACTTCAGATGTGCTAGCATTGTGCTGTCTCTTCTGATTTCTCTGAACTGGTATCCACCTCTTAGGAGGCTCAATAGCGACCTCCTTTCCTTTACCTTTATCCTTTGCCATCTCTATCGTAGGCTTAGGAATAGGGTCAACAGTTGGAGCAGGTGGTCGTGCAGGGCGGCAATGCTTCTCAGTATGACCAAAATGTCTGCACTGAAAACAGTAATCAGGCTTCTTCTCATGCACAACTGCTTGCCAATATCCTCCGCACTTTTTGTGCTGAATCCAAATCCTATCTGGAAGCTTATACTCCAGACTAACCTCAATGCATACCCGTGCCTCACTAGGCCGTCGTAAATCTGAAGTGGCCTCATCAATACGTAATGGGAGTCCAACGGCCTTAGCTAGGGCGAACAAACTACTCTTTGCCCGGAAGTGAATGGGCAATAATGGGAATGAAACCCAAACAGGGACAATAGGAGTCTCATGCTGAGGATTAAAGTTGGGTGTCCACTTAAAAACGTGCATGAGACAACCATCGATGTACCAAGAGGGCTTAAGAAATAGGCGTGAGTAATCATCCTCATGTGCCAAGTGTATTAGAATATGAGTCACATCAATAAGTCCAATCATATAATCACCACAAAAACCAAATTTTTGAAAGCTATCACGTACCTTAATCATGGAGGGCTTGCGACGTGAGAATTTGCCAACAAGAGTAAATTTATACGGTTCAGAAAGAAAGTCCTCTTCTTCCGGTAAAGGCAACTGCCGGCTCTCCCATATGCATGAAAGGCTCCTTAGAAGCGAACCTATGGTCATTGGAGTCCGGTGGGGCTTGCAAAACTTGTGCAAAAGACTTCCGTTGGCTGCGCTCAGCTTGAGAGACTACAGATTTACTGGAAAGTGCAGCCGCGTATGACTTCCTAGCTTGATTAATTACTGTAGGGACCTCTCGTGGCAAATCCGATGATAAAATTGGGTCCGTAATAAAATTCCCCACATTCTGGTGAAGTGTCACCGGCCCGTGACCACCACGCGCCGGCCGTTGACCGGCTAGATTCCGGCGGCGATTTTCCAACGGTGTCAAAAAATTATGATTTTTCACAGGTAGATGCGGAATTTCATGCTGATCATCACAGTATGTTCCGTTTTTCGAAACGAGTTCAGGATTGGCCGGAATCTGCGATTTTCCGAGCGACTGGCCGTAACTTGCGATCGCCGGTGAGGGCGCGTCCGATGTCGGAATTGGACCATTTTTCAGACGAAAGGTCTCCTTCTCATGGGTAATCAGATGACATGGCGCGTGTATCTGTCGGAGCTCCGTAGAGGGTTTAATTGAAAAATTAGAAATCGGCCCCTCGGGATTCGGTCTGTCAATTTCGGGCGATTCAGATGCAATCTGCACCACCCCAGGGTTTTCGCCCCTTCTGGAATCATTGGTGAGGGTCCTAGATGCTGAATCACTACAGAAGATGAAGTTTTGGTGACATTGGGAAACGTGCCATCATTGTTCTTATTAGAATTCAATCCAATCGCTTCCAAAATTGTAATATTTTGATTTTGTTGATGGCACGAATCCCAATGTTGTCAAAACTCCACCTTACGCATTGAATCAGGGTCTGGGACCATCACCAATGATTCCAGAAGGGCCGAAAACCCTGGGGGTGGTAGAGATTTTGTCCGAATCGCCCGAAATTAACATATCGAATCCCGAGGGGCCGAAAACTGATTTTTCAATTAAATCTTCCACAGAGCTCAAACAGGGACACGCTCTGGACCATCCGATTACCCATGTTGAGGCGAACCTTCGACTGAAAAATCATCAAATTCCAATGCCGGACGCGCTCTCACCAGCTATCGCAAGTTACGGCCAGTCGCTCGGAAAATCGCAGATTCCGGCCAATCCTGAACTCGTTTCGAAAAACAGAACATACCGTGATGATCAGCATGAAATTCCGCATCTACCTGTGAAAAATTATAATTTTCTGAAACCGTTGGAAAATTGCCGTCGGAATCCGTCCGGTCAACGGCCGGCGCGTGCTGGTCAAGCGCCGGTGACACTTTAGCAGAATGTGGGGAATTTTGTTACGGACCCAATTCCATCATCGGATTTACCACGGGAGGTCCCTACAGTAATTAATCAAGCTAGGAAGTCATATGCGGTTGCACTTTTCGGTAAATCTGTAGTCTCTCAAGCTGAGCGCAGCCAACGGAAGTCTTTTGCACAGGTTTTGCAAGCCCCACCGGACTCCAATGACCACAGGTTCACCTCTAAGGAACCTTTCATGCATATGGGAGAGCCGGCAGTTGCCTTTACCGAGGAAGAAGAGGACTTTCTTTCTGAACCGTATAAATTTACTCTTGTTGGCAAATTCTCACGTCGCAAGCCCTCCATGATTAAGGTACGTGACAACTTTCAAAAATTTGGTTTTTGTGGTGATTATATGATTGGACTTATTGATGCGACTCATATTCTAATACACTTGGCACATGAGGATGATTACTCACGCCTATTTCTCAAGCCCTCTTGGTACATCGATGGTTGTCTCATGCGCGTTTTTAAGTGGACGCCTAGCTTTAATCCTAAGCATGAGACTCCTATTGTCCCTGTTTGGGTTTCATTCCCATTATTGCCCATTCACTTTCGGGTAAAGAATAGTTTGTTTGCCCTAGCTAAGGCCATTGGAATCCCACTGCGTATTGATGAGGCCACTTCAGATTTACGACGACCCAGTGAGGCACGGGTATGCATTGAGGTTAATTTGGAGTATAAGCTTCCAGATAGGATTTGGATTCAGCGTGAAAAGTGCGGAGGATATTGGCAAACAGTTGTGTATGAGAAGAAGCCAGATTACTGTTTTCAGTGCCGATATTTTGGTCATACTGAGGAGCATTGCCGCCCTGCACCACCACCTGCTCTAGTTGTTGACCCTGTTCCTAAGCCTACTATAGAGATGGCCAAGGATAAGGGTAAAGGAAAGGAGGTCGTTATTGAGCCTCCTAAGAGATGGATTCCAGTTCAGAGAGATCAGAAGAGACAACACGATGCTAGCACATCTGGAGTTCAGATTCCGCTTTCTGTGTCCACTGTCATCACATCAGTCCATTATCTATTGGCACTAGCTCACATGCTCAGACCCAGCCATCTGTTGCTCCTCCCTCTGCTACAGCCTTACCAGTTATCAGTGTTGTAGATCCAGTTACATCTACCACTCCTTCAGCTCCTGCTCAGGCAATCAGTCCACCTATCACTCCATTTTATGATCCTATGGTGGATGAGATCTTGAAGAGGCCACAGACACAGAATTCTATAGCAGACATAGTCAGCAGAGCTTCTTACATTTCAGGCCCGACACCGGGTAGGGCTCAGGCACCTATTTCCACTTCTTCTCCTCCTGTTTGTCATCAGAATGTGGAGACATCTATTCCATCTTTGCAGTCAGCGCATTCAGATACAAAGGGCTCACCTCAGATTGAGGTTCACCAGCAGGGACCTTTTCGAAGATCTTCTTCTGATGACTTGGTGGGTTTGGATGAGAGG